TAGTAAACAAAATTTGAGACCACTGGACCATTTTCATTTTCCAGTTCTTATGGTTTTTAGTGCAAAAACACATTTAGCCTAAAACATGAGTAAAGAGAATGATGAGAAGAATATGAGCCTTGCTGCTTTGACCACTAAAAAAAGAACTACAAGGTTGATCTATGCTGCCACCTTGTGGTTCAAAACAACATTGCATGTGATTTTTTTCTAGTCTGTTTAAAAAGACCAGTGATAGAAAATCTTTACTAAGCAAGGGGTAGACATAAGAAGGGTCTGACTCTTAGCTAATGAAAGTAGTACAGCTTAAATTCCAGAAAAGAGTAAAAACTGAGGTTTTACACAGTGAATAACCTGCTGTGCTGACTGAGTCTATATAAATGAAAGCTCACCTTGACAGGGGAAAATGAACATATCCCTCCAGCACATACCGTGCGTGATCCTCTGTCTCAGTGTGGACATCTGATTGATAGAAAGGCTTCCCTTCAGACTGATAATGAGCATGGTCTGACTGAGACTCATACTGACCCTGGCTGTTAGCTGGATATTGAGAGTATTGGAAGTCAGAAGTGCACAAAGAAGTGGAGGCAACTATATACTGACTTTCAGCTGTGTCCTGACACCTGAAGTGTGTGTCACTCAAGTGGTTTGGAGATTTATCTCCAGCTTCAAAACAGTTCTCAGTCTGCTCGTATCTGTATTTTGTAGCCGTGGCATCAGTTGTAAACTCGGCATAGACGTCAGTGGCATCCTGCTGTCGGCTGGATTTGCTCTCTACAAAGGCTGGATAGGTGCACTGGTTTTCAGTTCTTTGATCGATGTGATGATAGTTATAGCCGTACTGGGTTTGACCCTGAGTTGTGTTCTGTTGTCCGGACCACTGGTATGCAGCATTTTCTTGAGCAGGGTGGGACGACACTTGTGATGTTATGTCTTGGTGTCTTCTTTTAAAGGAAAAAGGGGATAATTGAAGATAGAGTGGAAAAATATTCAGAATTAATACACACAGAGTCACAGTTATACTTTTTTATCTCTACAATGTTTTTAGTCTGTCCATTCATAAACCAAACACCTAAAAAGTGGAGTGATAATATATCATTAAGAAAATTTGGGGCCCTTGAAGGCTACATTACCCTTTTTTTGTTTGTTTATTCTTCTCTAAACGTGCAAAGACACAAATGCATGTTCATGGGTACCAGGGTGACAAGATTTAAATTTCAGACATTTTTCTACCAATCAACAGGTGGCGGTAATGTGCCAAAAAACACAAATATGTCTCTGGAAAAGGAAGGAAGCAAAGATGACTATAAAAACTATAGAATAAGCAGAGAAAAATCCAGTTGTTCTTTTTTTTAAGATGTATATTTGCATACATTGATTAGCGCTTAAGGACATTTACATTGTGTTTTGTGAAACTAAACCTAACCCAACAGGACTATTTCAACAGTGTTTAAAATCAGCAATAAAGAGAATGAAATAAAATGTCTTCAACATTGTAGGCCAAAGATATATTTGTAATTCTCTGAAATACAGAACAGGCTCCACTTCATAGACAGTATATTCTATTGATTTATTTACTAAAGAACTATTGAAGCTAAAGGTACCAGTGCATGAATGAACACACGCACACACACACACACACACGCACAATGCCAACACCTTGCAAGAGAGCTAAGGGAGCTGTTTCCATTAGCTGTGGTGGGTCTGCAGCTGTAATGAGGCAGGTAATGCATATCTAATGAGGCATAAACAGATTTATAAACACACTCAAAAACACACAGAGCTGCAGATCAAACCAGGCTGCTAAACACATGAGATATGCATCCATTCACACGCAAGGTTTGCTTCTTTCTCACTCACACTCACATATTATAAACAAACATAGTCCCTTCAGGCTCTTATCCTCTGTCAGTCACTCATCCTTCCATCCGTCCATACACACACCAGACTCTGGTGCTTAGGTGTTCCTTCTGGCTCGTGAGTTCAGTTATGTTCAGTTATCTAAAATACTTCATTGAGAAAACTTTTGAAACTAAAAGAATTAAGGGAAAGTGAAAGGAAGGAGGGCTGCCTGTGTGTGAATGAGAGAGAGATACAGGTCGGTGTGCGCAGGCATTTTCATTTATTTGCCGTTAGCAGCCTGAGAATAGAAAAGTCTATCAAGTAAAGAAGACAGAGTGCTGCAGAATTACTTCTATATCTTCTCTACTCAGCACAAATGAAGTCACCTCTAACTCCGGAGTATTTGGAAAGCATATGTATTTGGATTGTGTTTCTTACCTTAAATCAGGTAAATAATTATCTTGTGAAGCTCCAGTGTCTCCAGGCTGTTGTCCAATAGACCATTTATCCCAATCTTCAGTCCTTATAGGTCGTCCATCACGGTAATCCACTCTGCTCAGTGGAAACCCATCTCTCTTTGGCTCATGTGTTTGTATTCCTGCTTGCTGAAATGAAGACCCTCCAATTAAGTCATCACTAAAGCTCAGCAGGTCTGAAGATGCAAACTCTTGTCTTTCTTCCCTCTCTCTTTGCACTTCTGAAGTCCATTTTGGAAGGACAGCATTCTCTAGTGTGTTGGTTTCCTCATCCTGCTCCTCAACGTCATTTTCCTCTTCCATTAAATCTCCAGAAAATGGTAATCCTAGTCTTTTGTCAATGCAAACACTTGTTTCATTTACTGGGGTGCCAATCAGAGAGCTGGCATGAGAGGCCGAACTGTTGGTAAGCACAGGGGATTGTGGCTCCGACGTGGTTTGGGATGTGTCCTTTCTCCTTAACTGAGCCCCCCAGACTTGGAAGTCACCCAAGGAAGCAGGACATGGAGAAGGAGCGGGTGGCGTCTCCCCGCCTTCGTCTGAATCTTCCATTGAGATCTGTGAGTGGACATAAACCTCCTCTCTGGTTTTCAAGAAGTGATCTGATGGATATCTTAATGATGGAGACACACTGCGGGGCACAATGCTTGACTCACTGTCATAATTTCCTTCTGACTGACTGGAGCTTGTTGGTCTAGAATCAGACTGATGAAAAGCTTCCGAGTCATTTTTCGATTGGCTGGGACTGATAATTTCTGGAACCACGTGACAGTCAGTTGCACTATCACGAGTTGCTTCGTAGGGAGTTGATTCGACAGGTTGATTTTGGTCTGCATTGGGAGCACTGTCAGTTCCTCTGACTTGGTGTAACTTACTTGGCAGTGTTTCTTTGTTATAATTTTGTTTTGCAGCTTGGGCCTGACGTTGCAGTACCGAGGCTGCATATGACAGCATGCTAAATGTCTCCAGGGACTTTTTTGTTGCCTTTGATTGCCTTTCACTCCGTTTAGGTCTGTCAAGGCACTCTCTTGTAGCTTCTTTTACCGTGCCAGATACGATGATGTATTCCATTTCTAGGCCAAGTTCATCTGGACTATCTGTGCAACCACTGTCTGGGTTTTCCATTAGGTCCTTCTCTCCACCAGGACTGGAGCTCAGAGATACAGTTTCTGTTGTTTTTCCATCTACATGTCTTCTGCTCCCATCTGTAGCTCCCACCTGACTTTCAGTGGCATGCTCACCTTCATTGGTCGTCACATAGGCTGGGAATAATGTTTGGTCAGCCTGGATTTGTGGTTCAGCAGCTTCCTCTGGATACTGTGAAATTTGCCGAGTGCCAGTGGAGCAGTTGACCAGAAGAAATGGGGAATGATCTCTGGGTTGCTCTATCCACTCAGTCTCCTCTGATCCTTCTCTGCTTCGGCCACCCATCTCACTGGCTGCCTCAAACAGAAACACTTGGTCGTCTGCCTGTTCTTTATTTGTGATATCTACTCTCTGATCTGTCAGAATGGGTTTGCTCACAGCTATAAAAGGGCTAGACTGCTCCTCAAGCTGTATCATGTCTGCTACAGGGCAGCCAGAGGTGTCAGGGGAGGATGCCAGGCTCCATGTACCTGCTCCTACGTTGTCATATTCAGAGGTGGAGGTCACCATGCCACAGATGGGTAACTGCCACACGTCAGTGCCCTCATAGGTGGATGTGTCATCGTCATCATCTGCAGAGTTCTTGCGACTCTGAGCACCTTGTACATCGATGCCTTCTGTTTCTTCACTCTGCATTGTGCCCTCTGCAGCCTCGATGACTATTTTCACAACTTCAGGCGTCTGCTTAAATGCTTCACATGGATCACTCTTCTCTTCTAAATTGTCTTCTTCTTCCTTTTTGTTGGCATGTGTCCCAACAGTGTCAGTGGCATCCACTGAATCCATGTGACTAAGGTCCTTTCCATTTTCAGGTGCTTCTGGAGTCGTCATTGCGGAAGAGCTGTCTTCCTGTATGGTGGTGTTCCACATCTCCATTCCACCATCTGAGTATCCCAGTGGATTTTCTACAGATGTTCCACCCTTGATATTGGTGTTCAGTCCACAGAAAGAACCAGAGTTTTGAGATAAGTTCTCAGGGGTTGTGAGAGGTGATAAACTGTCATCCCGGATTGTCATATTCCACATATCCAGCGATTCGGGGTAAGACGTGGTGTTCCCGCTATCAGATTTAAGAAATCCTTTCTGTGCAGAGTACGTCCAGAAGTCTAAAAGCTCCATCTGTTGCTCCCTTTTTTTTCTGTGGACCCCCTCGTCCTCTTCTTTAGATGTGTCCGGTGTTAAAGTGTTCAGGATTGTTTTCTTTGTGGCCAAAGCTGCTCTTTCTTGTGCTCCAATAATAGCAGGTTTGCCTCTTCCAGTTAAGTCTTCCTCTGGTGGCGTCAGCTGGAGATCATCCAAAGTAATAGGTTTCCACTCATCCTTCCAGTTTTCATAGCATTCAGTCTGCTCTGTGATCAAACTAAGCTGAGGTTCAAGACTTTTCCCTTTGTGGTGGGAATTCTCTGACTTTAAGATCTCTTGTCTGCTTTCCTTTTCTGTCATGTTACCCACTAAGTCTTTGCCTCCAACTTCTTCTAAAATATTAGGTGGGCTCTCAGAATCTTTGGGTCTATTCCACATGTTATTATCACTTGAGGACTATGCTCCTTGTGTGTCAAAGCCCAGTTCATCCCAGGTCTCGGACAAAGAAGATGACACACTGTCTTTATGCTGTAGGCAATTGATCCTTTCAACAACATCTTCTGGAAAGAACCTGACGCCACAACTGCTGGGTGGGCGGCTACCAACCAGGCTGTTGACCGGGGTTGGAGGGACCACGGTGTCAATCATCTCGTTCCCATGGCTTGAACCGCGGCGATCAATTGAACAATTTCCACTTTCCAGACCTCCCACTGAGTTGGGAGCAGAGAAATCAAGAAAGCTTAGCTCATCGAGCTCTGACAGACTAGAGCTCCCTGCTCTTCTTTCATCTTCATATCCTGTTTCTCCAGAATTTGCCACTTCTCCTCCTACTGGCGTAGACTGGTCACTGCTATGCAGCGGGTCAAAATGAAACAGGTCAAAGTTATCGCTCCTGTGTCTGCTCGAGCGGTGTTTCTTCCTCTCTGGTGGGACAGGAGGGGAAAGAGATAACAACCCCAAAGGAGAGGGGTTTCTCAGAAAGAGTCCTCCTGGCCCTGCTGCTGGACCACCACCAGCTATCACCTCACCCACCGGACTGTCATCACTAAGGAAAATCGAACTCTCTTTGGAGGAGCGGCTGCTACGAATGGTGGTCATTCCGCTGTCAGGGCTCACTAGCTCCCCACCGACATTGACTCCTGCACCTCCTGCGTCCTCTTCACCATCTCCCATTACCCTGTTTGCAGGAGATAAAACAAAAGTATGAGTGAACATAATGTTTTCTCTAAAAACTGTAGACATTCAGACATTCTACCTTGCTATTGCCACTGTGTCGCCATTGCCTCCTTCTGCTCTCTCTATATCAGAACCATCCATGTCATTGATGCCAGATGATCCCTGGGAGAACTCCACACTGCCTGCTACTCCGTCTGTGGAAGAAGTCCTACTGCTGGGGTGGCAGGCTAAAACAGAACTACGCCGGTCGACAAAGTCCTTAAGGATGCCCTGGATCTCCTCCGCGAGCAGTGGTGGACAACCAGAGGATGCAGAGGTGTTCAGTGGAATATGATAAACCTGAAGACTCTCCAGAGCCTCCAGTTCACCAGAAAGAGACCAACTGGAGGATTCTTCAAGCTCGGAGCAGATCTGCAATGAGAAGCTTGTTTAAATATTATCAAATATCCTTATTTGATTTAGTTCATCTTTTTGAATGGTTTGATTACTAGATTGAGGCCATATCTTACATATCTGTCTAGTTTCTAGAACAAGCAGTTTGACTACTATGCTTTTCAGTGTTGCTGTTGTATGAAGGAGTATTAGGGCCACATTAAGAAAAAAAAGCATTATTAAAGCATTATTGGTCCTTCTGACCAGATGCAGTTTTAAGCACCCTTATACTTACCCACGCTGTGTTTATGTGCTAAAAGAGAAATCATTTCCTTACAACTAAAGCCGAGTCATTAAATCTTCTACACAAGGCATTTTGTAGAGGGTATAGGAGCCGTGGCAGTTTGCCTTGAAACAACTGTAATCTCCACATTTTGACTTTAGCTTAGTTCAATGTAAAACATATCCTAGCGTAATAAGAAAAGTAAAAACAAAACAGGCATTTTTGGACCAGCAAAATTAAAAGGATGAGATGCCAGGTGATTATACACTAATGCTGCACACATTTTAGTTAATAAAAAAACTTGTTTCTGGTCTCCTTCATAAGGTATTTCTTTTGACACATTATTTTCAGAGTCAGGGAAATATTTAAAAAGAAATTAATATTTATTCAATTTACTAAAGACACCATTACAGAGCTGTGAGTATTTAAGAAGCACTTTATGCTTCATTCCTGACATATGATTGTTTGTTGCTTCTGATGAATATTTTACCTGTTTCAGGATATCTGTGTTGTTTGAGTAGACAGCCACCTGCTGGCGGGGATGGTGAACTGAATCACTGACGGATAAGAGAACCACAATACCATCGAACCTATGGTGGTGACTGAACGATTTAAGCACATCCAGATAATCATGCCAGTCCTGAAAGTGACAAAAAAGGACAAACATTAAATTTTTACTACTATGTAAAAAAAAAAAAAAAAAGTCTTCAAATTAATGATGACCCTTTTCTGTTTTTATATACAGCCACATAGGAAACTTTGTAAGACTCTGCCTTTTATTGCACATATGATTTAATGTAATTTAGTAAAACTTGAGTGGTTTCAGAAAAAAAAGCCCTTTATCTGTAGCAATGAGAGACGAAGCTGTCAAAGCACACAGAGGGGTAGAGAGACACTTTGTGATTTATTGTTTGGAAATTAACTGTTTGCTCTTAAAACAGCCACCATGCACAGATTATGGTAATTCAGTGACACACACAGTGATTGATGGATGGAAAGTTGCATTAATTAATTGTTTTGTTTGTCAAGGGAACTTGTTTTTTTCTTTCTCTCTGGAATGATTAACAACAATGTTATGGGAACCGTAATTTGCTATGCTATAAAGTGTGCAAAGTGATACTTTTGAAAACATATTTGCTTGATTAATCTAGATTTGCTGTACAACTGTTTGTTTTGTAAAGTTCTCAAAATTGTTGCCGTGCTTATTTAAGTAGAACTTTTTAAACAAAAGAGATATTTAGAGTAAAACTAATAAAGGAAGTTTGACTTTTGTGTGTGTGTTTGCTGCAGACATGAAAACCTATTTCTTCTCGTGTTGCCAGATCGTGTCAGTCCAATGACGTTTCAGCATATGCATTTCTTTGCTGTGCAGTCGGCGTGTGTGTGTGTGTGTGTGTGGTCCGTCTCACTGCTTAAGCCTGTGCACGCAAGTGTGTGTATTTGTATCGGACCACTGAAAGTGATTGATGAGAGCTTCTGGCGCTGTATCTGCCCAGGCTGTGTCAATATTAACCTGTGAGGATGAGGGGGCCACAATACTCCTCCCACTGTTCCTCCCTCCATCCCTCCATCCTTCTCTCGCTCCACAATATGGCTGCTGTCAGACTCGGGCTCATCAATCCTCACACACACACACAACTGTCACTTCACTGACACTGCCATTTCTCAACACTGATATCCTGATGAGTGCAATGAAGCCTCCCAAGATTCGTTAAAACACACATATTCACTCACATAAGTACAAACACACAAGCAAACGCGCACGTGGCACGAACGCATGCAGACGCACACATGAGTTCACCTGCGCTCGTGTGCTGTGATGCGAGTTTAGGAGTCGACATGAACTGGTGTACGCACATGTGAGATCTAGGAGAGCAATAAAGGCTTCATCATTTATGGTACAATATACACAGAAATGATCAGATGATGCTAGTGAAGCTAAGAGCCAACTGTGTGCATATGCACTCAAAACTACACACACACACACAGACACACACACACACGGAAATATAGTCAGAAAACGAGCAGAGTGCGAATCTCTGCGATAACACGCAGGGCGACAGTCTGTCTGCCATTTGGCTCTTAACTGAGTAAATTACTACTCATATTGCCTGCCCCTCCTCTTTCTCCCTCTGCCACCTCCAGATACACAGATTGCCTTTTCTTATAAATTATCAACATGTTAGATATAAAAACCACTTGCTAACTATCTCCATGAACCTTAGGATATGGACACAGAAACCTGTATTTCATTTGTTGCACTTACCGGTGGCCGCCTTACCTCGAGAAACCTAGTTACTTTAAATCCTTCACTTGACTTGCTTTTAATTTTACTTTTTAGTAACGTGTTTACCAAAAGGTGAAAGTCCTTGTTCTTGTATAGATAGTTTAAATTCACAGTCCTTGCTGTCACTTAGCATCAGTGAGAAAACTTACTTTACATTCTGAAATGGGAGGTGATCTTAAAATGATGAGCTTGGAAAGTCAGCAGGCACTGAGATATTTAACTGATATTTACGGCCAGTGTTGTGGCTTTTTACTACATGCTTCACTGCAGTTCATTGGGTCATTTTGTATGCTCCTTATTCTTAAGTTCCAGCAATAGACAATTGCACTCAGTGGCACTAAAAGCTCAATGGACTACAACTTAAGAAAATATAAAGCGAAGGCAAACTAAGAAAACTCCAATTCTGCAAAAGGAGAAAATACAACAAAATACCATAAACGTGCAGGAAGCACAGAGGGCTATTAGGAGGCACAATAAAGTGATGAAGATAGCTGGGAAAGGACTAATTGTTGCCAAAGTGCAAAATGAGCTTAAGTGGGTTGAATGCTGTTATTCTCCTTCATTCATTATTATTTCATTTAGGCTTCTGTGCTGTTAACTCTGAAGCGTTTCGCAGTGGAGTTTTCTGTATTTGCAGCATGATGCTTTTTTGTGTTTTCCCTAAATGCTGATTATATTCTGTGATGCCGGCAGATCTTTTTGATTATGATTTGTCTATTTGCCAGCATCGCATCGAGCTCTTAAGCGCAGAAGAAAGAAAGAAGGCAAACAACACTTACACTGACAACTGAAGGAAAAATTACGTCGGCGATTGTGTGGTGTCAGCGTAAGCTGTGTGAGCTCCTTTTTTGGTTTAGACCAGCTGTAACATCAAAACTTTGATGACTACTTGTCACACAGTTGACCTGCAACCATTACTATGAATAGCCAAAATAGGGTTGAACCCACGGTTGACACAACATTTTTGAGTACAATTTCTATGCTTTTTAAAAAAAAGAAAAATACTTTTTCAATAAACTCAAATGTGTTTTTCTCTCTTTCAACTGTCCTCTTACTTTTTTTTGCGTCTTAACTCTTTACATCTTCTTCTCAAACTGTTTATAGACATCTGTTTCTCAGACTAGGCCTTTATCCACACACTTTTCTCTCTCACACACACACACACACACACACGTTCTCTCTCTCATTGGCTGTCTTTGCTCCACAGGTAGCAAGTCTTTAGCGGCTGCTTGCAGTTCTCCCAACCTGCCGTCATTATGCACAATAGCCTTAGGTACAAAACTCAGGCCTCATAACTCACGCCCCGCGTGCGTAAATTCCCGTGCAAACACAGTCAAAGCAAAAACACATTTCCTGCTGTCGCCAACATCTCCGGCAAAGAATTAATCAAGCGTTCATCCATTTAGGCTCTTTGCATACCCTTTCCGTCAGAACACAGAATGCTAAGAGAGTTGCGAGTTCTTCTCAGGCGATCGTTTCGCCACCCTGATGAATCCATCAAGCGAGGTTTGATTTATACATCTGTCTGTGATCACAGCGGTACAGCTACAGTAAATGGGGTGGCAAGGAGCGAGCTGACACCTCCCTGCTCAAACACACACATGCAAATGCACGCACACATGTGCAGTATATACCACTTGCCACACACACACACACGCATTGCTGAACTCACACACACGTACACACACACACGCATGTACTCGCATACTAACAGCCATTCACTCTTATTCACACTCCTGCTCACACATGCGTACACAAGAGTATTACTGCTTATGAAGTTTTTGGAAAGACAGAGGGGAAAGGGGAGGGTGGTATGAAAGTTTGCAGAGGAAGAAACCCAAATGTCTTTCAGTCTATCTCATATGGGCCTTCTCCGCATGCTTCATTCACTCAGCTCTAAGTGCGGGGATTTGGGGGCCAAGATGCGAGCACTGAGTCTATAAATGTTTTGTTTTGTTTATTTGTTTGCCCTCAAAGCCTGAGGAAGCCACAGGGGGAGAATGAAAATGGGGAAGAGAAAGATTCAGAAGATTCTTCTTCAGCAGAGATGAGGAAGAAACATCAGCGTAAGATGCTGAAGATGGAGCGGAGACTCTTGTGCAGCATCAAAATGGTTTCAATAAATGCCATATTTTTGTACATGACACAAACAGTATAATGTGCACTGTAGCCAAACAAATTTACATCAAAATATGTATCTTGGAATCTTGTTGATGTGTTTATACCACAAGAGTATTTTTACTATGTAAGAAGATGCAATCTAACACTTAAACTAGTTGGGGGAAAAAACAAAAAAAACCATCAAGAAATCCCAGGATACTGTAAATAGAATGCAATCTTTATGCATTCCTTCTTAATATAGGGATGTTTCACATGGCTACAGCACTATGTGCTTTATGAGTCTGCTCACCCAGAAAATCACTACAGCGCAAGAAAGAAAGACACAGAATCCCAGAGAGTAATAGAAAAATAGAGGGGGTGGAGGGGCGGGGCACCCTGGCTTCCTGGTCTTCAATCTTAGTCCCTGGGAGGCCCACCCTGCACCTGCTGTCTCCTAGTGCGTCTCATCAGAAAGGCATTTACTGAGTGCCGTGGCTGCGGGCCCCTTCATTAGCGAGCATAATTATTTGTGCAAGTGGCGTAGGGCAAAACTGGCCCTGCATAAACAAACAGAAGGGCCGGAGGACTGCGAACAAACAACACATTAGAGACAATCAACGTTGCCAAAATGAAACCTAAAGCGCAGCTCAGATGGAGATGGACACGTACGCAAACACAATCAGATAGAACAGAACAAACAAATCTACCTCAACAACACAAAACATCGCATAAATGAAAACAGGAAAAGTAAACAACATCCAAAATAATGCTAACTCATCGGCACCACTGTGTCAGCTTCTGCGGATGTGAGGCGCTGAGCTGACATCTCGCCATGTTTTTGTTGTTCATGCATTTTTAATTGCAAGTATCTGACAAATAATAACAATGACAACAATAAAATGGCTTTCTGTGTTAATACTAAAGCCAAATTCAAATATCTTATTCATATGCTGCACTAATAAGCAGATATCTGTGTATGAAGCATCCAACGGGCCTATGGATGCTACTGGTGTTTTCTGATGAGTCATCATGACACCCTTTCTTCCAAATATGGTCACACCCAAGATGGCATCAGCTACAATACTTAAAAATCGAGGCTTCAAATCAAGAGTTAAAAAATAGTGGGTGATAGCCCGGTAGTTATGTCCATCTTTTATATACAGCCTTTTCAGGGCACACTGTGCTGACTGTGGAGCTGCTGTGATGAGAGTCCATGGTTCTGTTCTGATTAACCCCACATTGCCCACTTCAGGTATAAGTGAGTTGCTGTCCCCAGTTAACCCTATAAAGTCTAACCACCTCTTCTCTGAACATAACAACAGCCTGATGGCCTAACCAGAGATTTTATCAACCAGTCTAGCATCTTTTACTAACCCCAACCACAGGAGACGCATCAAAACAATTTTGTTTCACTTTATTTTCCCATCAAAACCAAAAAAGTACATTCTCCAAAATACAGGGTTTGATGACTCATACCTCAAACCTTGTTCATAAGTTAAGGTAACCTGGAATTAGTGAAACTCTTACCCATGGTTATAGATATACACTGTAAAGACTAACTTACTGAACCTTCTGCCACTGCAGGTTGGAAAAATGACAGGAAACAAATAGAGATATAGACATCAACACAATAACAAACACACACACACACACACACAGTTAGAGTGGTCACGCGCACACAGAGCATAAGATGAATGATTTTGTTTGCCGCACAGAGAAAACAAATACCATCAAAATAGTTATTGTATCTTGGTGTAACATTAAATTACTGAACTAACATACAAACTTTTCCTGATCCTCCGAGAAGCGGAAACAGCTTTAAAAAAAAAAAAAAAAGAAAAGAAAGAAAAAGAGAAAAAAAGACGAGGAACTCTAAAACACATTGTACTTCTTAGATATCCATATTAACATATGAAAAAAAAAATCACATTATTCGCATATTGTCTGAGCGAGTGTACGTCTGTGTGTGGCTGTGGGCTCCTGTCCTTCCCACAGTTCATCAACTCCACAGCATGACAACTCTTCATCTGACCGAAGCTTCATCTGCCAGCGCTAATTTCTGAGCTGTGAAAAGCTCAAACACACACGTGCTGGCATGAATATGCGAATAATGCGTCTTTAGTGGGGGGGTTTTGTGTTCATCAATTTGAGGTCAATGTAAGTGTTACACAAAACTTTTCAAATGATCAAGGTGATGATGCACAACAGCGACGTGCCCTTGAGCAACGCCCTTGACCCCTATGGTGCTGCACTGCTGTGGTGCTTTTTCTACTAGTTGATACAATGCATCTACCACAGAGCATGGAAGCTGTAATGGATGCAAACACAGCATCTCATAAGGAATCTGTACAGCAGGGGTTCTCAAAAATTTGGGGGCTATGGACCTCATACAGGGGAGAAGATTTTCCAAAGACTCCTTCACAACGATCTTGGTAGTCTGAGCTCAGAGTCACTTTATGTTGTGAACTGACTCAAATGTTAATGCTCATCAGCTAACTAGCTGTCTAATAAAGCAAGCTACTGAACAGCTGGAACATCTCGCTATTTTGCAAAAGAAGTGAGTGACAGAAGTGACTGATGTGGTGCATCTGGATCAGATCTGATTTTTTTTTAATAGTCTTCAAACAACACCAGAGGGAGTAATGGACACAATATGCTCTTTTTATTAGAGTTAATGGTTCCTATTAGAAGTTAGTAAGGGTTTTGCTAAGACCTTTGCTACTGACTGTACACCCCACTCAGAACTATTGTGTTATGTGGGATTTATTGGTGTTCAGTTGTGCAGGTCTTTGGCTGCATAATGAGAGAGACTGTGGGAATTTAACTAACGTAGAGGCTCCAAAGCATGTAGCCCTCTAAAAAGCCTACAGAGCAGGAAGAAGCACAAAAATGTCACATCATAAAGAAAAAACAAACAAACAATGGCAGTGGAAAGTTTTAACTGTTTTTAGCACTTGATTCACACTTGGTTCCAGTGGTTGGTGGTGGTTTTCTCACCAGTACTACCAGAGATGTCTTTCTGTTAAAAGGGAGTTTTTCCTTCCCACTGTCACCAAAGCTCTTGCTCGTTGGGGGTCATCTGATTGTTGGCGTTTTCTCGGTTTTCCCTGCATTATTGTCGGGTCGTTATCTTACAATATAAAGTGCCTTGAGGTAACTGTTGCTGTGATTTGGTCCTATATGAATATAAATGAACTAAATTTAACTTTAGTATAATTTTTTTCCCCTATTGTGTCATCCATGTTCTCCACAGAACGGGCTGAGCTAGTTTTTTTATTTATTTTTGTTTTGGTGCTGACCACTAGGGTTTTTTTTCAAAGATTCACATTGCTCCTCCTGATTCCCAGAGCAGCACCATGCTTGGTGCTTTATAGTACACTTCACGAAGAAACTTGCTGTCATGCAGAAAACTAACTCTAATGTCAAAAATATTTAAATAAGGTCGCGCTGCGGCATTTAAATGTAACGTTGCTTCTGTAAGGTGAAGCACTGAAAAATTCAGATAATTGTTGCTCTTGTGCAGGAGCAGCAGCAGTATTTTATTCTTCTATAGTCAAACACAATAACAGTGTTTGAGAAACCGACAGAAATATTTGCCTTTGCAGTTTCAACTGTAGTGACTCTGAAGGGAGGAAGCTCATTTCGTTTGTACTTTTCTCTTCCTGTAATAGAGGAGCACCCAGACTGACTAATGTATGTTTGTACAGTATACAAAAATACATTAGTCAGTATATACGATGTGTCCGTATCGTTACACCACACACTGCAAGCTTTTTCTTCTGCTAACTAGGCAATCACAGACATCTTTTTTTTTTTTAAACAAAAATCTAACTCTGCCCTCTTTAACCATCCAACACACACACACACACACACACACACACACACACACACACACACACACACACACACACACACACACACACACACACACGGAGAACACTTTGACAAACACATAGCACATAAACCATTAAAGACTAATTGAATCTAATTTATTTAGTTTTCTGGAAAGAATCATTTAAGGCAGAACTTCCCTAAGCCCCCTCAATAAATGACTCTCATACCGTTTTACTCTCTTTTCAAACACAATTAAAAAATAATATATAAATATATACACACTGCAAATGACATGCATATAAGGAGTTCATTTTGGAGCCCGATCTCAGGTCATTAGTAACCCACCATGACGCTGTGGAGTTGGGGTCCGCTGGCGACACACAAGCCCCTGGCCATTTATTCTATATTAAGTCTTTAATGGGCCCTCTCTCTCTTTCTCTCTCTCTCTTTCTCTCTCCCTCCTGACACACAGCATGCAGGCTCAGCGCTGGTAAAATATGCACAGAAAGTCCGGTGCGCAAACACAGACAAAGCCATTCAAATGAATGGTTATTTATTCGCTAAACGAGGATCTGGGTGTTTAATGTTCCTTGGACGTTAGGTAGTTTTCTGGGGGAGGCAGAGCCATACCCCTACGGCTACAGACATCATTTATTTTACACATAGCCTAATACTGCACGCTAGGCAGCCGCTGAGAAAAATGGGCTTTGGAAGTGAGAAGGAGATATAAAAGAAATAATGAATAATTTTTTATTTTGGTGGTGGGGGGGGTGCTTTTGGGTGGGGGGGTGAACACATTAGCAGGGAGAAAAGCAAGGGGTAAACTTAAAGGCTTAAAGCACCCTGTTTGCGTGTATGTGCGTGTATGTGCGTGTGTGTGTGTTGTTTGCAAATGTGAAGAGGAAGAAAAAGAGTGACAGAGCTAGAGAAGTCATCACCAGCATTACACAAATGTTTCAATATGTGTGTGTGTGTGTGTCACATTTTTGGAATCAGTGGGGAGGAAGGTGATACATGATTGTGTGCGAGGCTCTCGAGCTTCCATCTACATCTCATCCAAATGCAGAACATCACAACAGCAGAGGGGCTCCTCTTCTACACTACAGCACCTCCCAAATTTGACACAGCGAAGGTGCGATGTATCCATCAAAAGTAACTTTTTAACAAATGAAACATTATCTCTTTCTCTTTTGTCGCTTAAAAGACAACAGAAGTTTTCTGAGCTTCTCTGAAAACATTACAACCCACGAAACACTAAAAAGAAGACTAATGGGGTTAGTAAGTAAAAAATAATAAGGATATTAATCCAATATTCCATTATCAGCACACTTTATGTATTACTGTGTACAATAAATAAAGTACACGTAACCATTGATTTTGATTTGTGTTGTGTACGGTTCATAGGAGTATATCAGAAAACTGTGCATAAGTCTTGAGCCACCACTCATTGCTTTATATTTTGATAGGAAAACAGGAAGTAGGCACGCATTCACACGTTTCCATGCATGGAAATACAGCATATAGGGCAAAAAGAGAGTTTGTACAATTATAGCAAACTTGGAAGTCAGTATTTGGCACTTTTATTCTTCAACACAGCTTGAACTCTTTCAGGAGTAGTCCTTCAGGCTTCTTGAAAGACGTTAGTTCCATCGTGTTTTACAAATGGCTGAAGAAACTCACTGTTTTACCTCTCACATGACCTCCTCTTGGATTCATCACTACATAGACCCTGTTGGTACTGATTTTCAGTCCAGTTCTTGTGTAGGTTGGCATACCGCAGCCTTTTTCTCCACATTTCCCTTCCTTAAGAATGACTTTTTGACAGCCATCCTTCCACTGAGACCATTTCTGATGTGGCTTCAGTGATCAGTAGATGGATCAGCTGCAGGGTCTGATGGAAAACTGCTTTCAAAATTCATCTGTCAGCATCATAAAAAAAAAAAAATATATATATATTTCTCTTATGAGTGAAAAAGCAGTTAATGTGCAAAGAGAAACTTTAAAAGACCTTCAGAAAGCCTGGAGAACTTCTCCTAAACACCACTATGAAGCTTTACAAGAAAGTCTGCCTACTTGGAAGCAAAATATAAAGAAATGAGTGGTGGCTCAAAACTTTTTAAAAAGTACTTTTCATAGATCCTGTGATGTGATTTTTGGCACAAGACTGGTACTTTATTTAATAAGAATTTACCTCCTTATCTGTAGCCATCGAAGTGAGTACTACGGTCATCTCTCCATCCGAAAACTCCTTTACCTCCAGAGTCAGCTGCTGCATCAAGTCTACATCCAGTCAGCACATATACAAACAGACTAACAGTTATATGAAACACACACATATAAGGATCCAAAACGGTTTCACAACAAATAACAGAAAAAAAAATATAAAGCATGAATTCCCTCTCCAGATGTGAAAGGTAAGTAAAACGATGTTACAATGCTGCAACAAATGGAATTTTTGCATTCATGCAAACACAATGCTGTCAGGAACAACACAGCCCTGTTATCTAATTAGACCTTATGTTAATACTGCAACGTGCACAGACTGTGCTCCACTGACAGCTCCCTCACTGTCCTGTTAGCTTTACTGCTCCTGCTAGGGAAAGATTATTTATACTGGTTTTACTGCTATTAGAGTTGATGTTGACACACGATTACAACCTGACTACAGATTTACTTGACAGAGTGATCAGGGTGGACTTTCATCAGTCCTCTAATACAAATTACTCATGGACAGTATTTCTGCTATGCGATGGTAGGAGAAGCAGGGCTTGTTAATAACACACTTCATGGTTCGGTGGTGAAGGGAGACTGATTCATCTTAAAGTAAAAGTCAGTAGCAAGAAAAAAAAGCAGTTTCGCAAATAATTATTACCTGACACTAACCTACATAGTAGGTAGCTTTAACAGTCTAATTGTTACAAACCTAAAGACTGAGTTTATTAACAAAACTAAGTTACCTTTTTGTAAAATAACACAAAATACAGTGCTTAACAAATTTATTATAAGTTTGCTGGGGTAAGTTACCAGTATTTATAATTACCCAAATCATTTTTTATGTTTCAGTACCCATCACTAGTATGCGCAAAGTCTTTAACTGAAAGAGCTTTTAAATTAATAGTTTTAATGCTAAATTATAATTATTGTTGTTGAATTTTAAAATTTACTGTTTTCCAAAAGAGTAGAAAAAAGGTGATGATGAAGAATATTATTCTTTTTGTTATTAAGAGGATTATATTTACTTCAAAAATTATATTTATTGCATTCCTGAAAAGGAAAAAATGTTGTAATGGTTGAATGTAATGATTAATTGATTTTCTGATTTCTCAGAGAACTCATATATATACATGGTCTCATAAATTTGTTAAGCACTGTACATGACATTGAAAACTGTTATATGAATATATGGCCAAATAGCACTGACTGGGTAAACTGTGCAGCGGTGGGCAATTAATTTTCCCAAGGGGCCGACGTGAGAAACTTGGACTGTTGTGGAGAGCTGCACCAATAAGCTTTTAAAGAGATAAAATAAATATTAAGCAGAACCGGGTTTGGCTTATTGCGGAGGGTCTCAGTTTCTCGTGTGGCCCCTTAGGAAAATTAATCACACGCCCTTATGCTAATGGGTGTATTAAGTAAGCTGGACACGACACAGCACTGACACTCAGCCTCATGACCAGTTTGTTCCCATGGCCCCAAAAAGCAACATTTTCCCACAACAAGGTCAGCTCTGACTCTTACACTTAAACTGATGTATTTTCAAATAATGAAGTCTCTCTGTCAGAGATTAAGAAAAACTTTTTTTTCCTTCAAGAAATGCGATGCTATCTATGAGTCTAGTATTTGAGTGGTACAGACACTGGTTTGCACATTTTACTGGATTGATCTTTGTAGTGACAATCAATTTATACATCACTGGTACACTTCCAAGATAAGATGCTGAATGCAACCCAATATGATAACCCACTGGTCTGAAACTAGCTCACAGTTAAACTCAAAGTAATGGAATCATTGTTTCTTGCATTGGTTATACTTCCTCCCATAAAGTGCTATGAAATACGATGCACCTGCCGCTGTGTTGCTTTGATGAGCATATAAGAACAAAGCTATATCAGACTCTCTACTCCAGCCAGTCTCTCTGTTTAGATTCACTTTGTGATCCAACGCACACCTTGTAACTTCACTTCATTGTGCTCACCAACAGCGACTTCCCCCCATTGCTCCAAGGATTTCACGAGCTCCTCCAGCTGTGCTGAATGACGGCCATGTTTCATCCAAAAGGCTTCTGTCTGGAGTCGCAGGGCCTCTGTAGACACACAAAACAAGTGCAGAGTGCAATCGTCATGCTAACTCTGGCTCTCTTTCACAAGTTCATATACACAATCCGCGTAATGGTAGGTTGCCCCACGGATTAAGAGTGAAAAAATAAATCGCTAAAAGTAAATAATTACTGACAATTTACACTTATGTTTTCCTACATTTCAGTATGATTAGTTACAAGGTTGTGCACTTGCTTGGGCAGGTTTACACTTAATACTGTTTGTACATCACAAAGACAACACAGCACACAGAGAATGATTAACTCCTAATAAAATGAGACAGTAAGAATAATATTTAGGACATGATTTTGTTAGTGTATAAATAATATTAGGTGTTTGTGCTATTATTTTCTCCTTTTCATCAAGCGGACACTGAAAGACATTTTGTAAGAGAAAAGAAATCAGTGCAAGCAATAATTTTCTTTTATGCTTATGAAAAAAGTAAGTTTGGCTTTTTGGAAGCCGCTTGCACCACTGTGTGATCTCTCTAAATCATATTTTGGGATATCAGTGAATGAGTCTGATTTATCAGTCAACCAGTTATGTAAAAACAGCCTTAAAGTGTGAATTGTCTGTTTGGGATGTATACCCAGACCCCACCTCCATGATAACTGTCTTCTCAAAGACCTTATGTTATTTAGGGAAAGAGCTGAGTTCCTGTAGGAATCAATGAACCTTAAAATTCGCAAAGAACTCTCCCAGAGAAATATGAGCAGTGGACTACTCACAGCACATGATTCTCCTGTTCTATTCATCTTTCTTTCCTGTCTCTGCACTTTACTCCTCTCTCTCTGCCGTTTCCCTCCATTCTCCACCTTAATTCACTTTTCCTCTGTCTGTCTCTCTGTAGATCTCAGTGAAAGTTGATGTAGAGCATTATTGAACAAGGATCAGATGCTTTCTGCAACCTAACCTCCACACAGGTGCCTAGCATCGACGTCTGGAGTACCTGTTTGGCAGGCTGTTTTACTGGCTTAACAACATGTGCACGGAAAGCATCTCAATTAAAGTTTTATGGGGAGTTATGGAGTTATTTTGTTATTGACGGCATAAAATATCATTACATCCAAAGAATATTTTACTCTAGCCTACACAGAAACTAGAAAGTTTTGTCTCTAATAGAGTTCACAGGCGTAGTTTACACACATTTTTGTTCTCTGCTCATCTACTTTTTTTCATTTCACGTTGATTTGTTGTGATAACTTTTGTTACTTTAGGAGGAAAATACAACTACCTGACAAAAGAGGAAAACAGACTAAGCTAAATTAAACAGAAAAAAAGTCACATTACGGGACTCTGTGTGTCTCTCCGAGCTCTTACTTACTCACATTCACCACCCTTCATCTTTCTCGTTCTCGATCTCTCCTGGTGAGTGTTAAGCGAGTCATGTCAGGGGATTTGTGTGTGTCCTCCTTCATCGCCCCATTACTCCCCCTGGGGGGAGGGCGCCTGTGCTTCTCTCACCTCCAAGAATCTCCCCCAGCGTTGCTCTGATGTGCTCTGCTGCCTCTTGAAGAATCTCTTTGGTGACTGTCGTCACCGCGGACAATGCCCCATCATCCCCCGCGTCCTGCTGCCCGTCATGATAGACCACTCGCTGGATGCTGGACTCCAGAGTGCGGCACTCAGAGCTAGAAGAGAGAGAGGACGGGGGTGAAGGGGATATGGATGGCTGCCGGGGTAGGAGCAATGATCATGATTCATTTGCATAAATACAACACTCTTTTTTGTGTCATGTGGGATGAACACACACACACACACACACACACACACACACACACACACACACACACACACACACACACCTAAATGATCTTCCAAAATAATCTAGACATCAACAAATGGTCTTCGCTGCCAAAGCCCATTGCACCTGTGTATATTTGTGGTGTTGCGTGCACATGTACGTAAGTTTCCTAAATATGAGCTGAACTGATCTGCAGACTGACCTGGTTCTGCTGGTCTGAATCTGAATTGCATTCACCTGTCTAGCAGTCCATTTCTCAGCAGTGTGAGCGAGAGCCTTTTGGCGCGATGTAGTCTCATGAGGTCTACATCGTCTCTCCAAAGCAGCAAGCTCTCACAAAGCTTCACCCTCTTCAGATACCTCGCCGTCTCCTCGGGCAACACGGTGTCACATCTGCAGCCACACAGCACCGGCACACACACTCCACCTGATGATTCTCTCTTCAGATGCCCAAAGACACACAGAAAGCACATGAAGCCAAAAAGAAGTTGAAAGTACATCATGTTTGGATAAAAGTGTAGAATCTGAATGCAGCATTTCAAGAAGTGTCTGGTATCATAATTTCACCAAGTTAGCGGAATGCATATAGTGGAAATTACTGCACTTGTTTCTATAGTGAGGCAATATTTTGTTTGATGTCGAAGTGAAAAATGGACATTTTATGCCCTGCTGCCACTCATCGGTTACATTTTTACCAAGGTAGTGTTTCAGCTTATACAAGCTGAGAGCGTTTTTTTTTTTGGGGGGGGGGGGGTTTCATAAGCATAAAAGAAAATTATTCCACGAAAACATGATTTGACATGGGGGAGAGAGAGAAACAGCCATAGCAAAGTTCTCAGTTTTAATTGGCAGTCTGAAAGGTTTGGGGCAATGGTCGAGTTTTGTGAACTAAGCAAAGGAGAAAATTTGCACAAAAACTAGAGCTGTACATGACACATTAACACAAATCAAACAACAATATGCCAAAATGGATATGTAGAAGGCATACTAAATGTGGTTAGTTTTTGAATGTGCTGTCAGTAGAAACATTGTCCTACTGCATGCTGCACACAAATGGAGGAGCTGGAAATTAATTACATACATTGTGGATATATATGTGTTTGTTCCTCAACATAGCCTGAACTCTTTTCGGTCGGCTTGCTTGTAATTTTACGAATAGTTCTCCAAGCTTCTTTAAGGACACTCAAAGTTCTTCTATGGATGTCCTCAAAGTTGTGTTTTGTTCTGTTTTTGTCTCAGATGATGCTCCACTACTTCAGTAATATGAAGGTTTGTGTTCTGGGGAGGCCAATCCATGACTGATAGCGTTCCACTGTGTGTTTTTCTATCCAGGTTTTTTGTTTGTTTGTTTTTTTACTGCACTGGCAGTGTGTTTGTGACCATTGTCAAGCTAAAAACAATGTTGCTGCCAACCACGTTTCACAGATTCAGTTAAATAAATGGGAACATGGTATGTGTTTTTGCGACAGGCTGCTAGTAACAAAGTTCAATTTAAAACCAATTCTTTCCTGAGTTGTCCATTATGCGTAGACACAATTCACATAGGTGCCTTATTTATGCTTGAAGGATTCATAGGTCACTATGAGGTCCTGGAGAACTAATGCTCAAGACCACTTTCGAAGTTACAAGGAAGTCTGGCTCCTTGGAAACAAGATAGAAATAATGAGGGGCGACTCCAAAATTTTTCAGGGTAATATATAAACGTGCAACACAAAGCACATGAACACAAACAGGTAGATATTGAAGTTACCTGGCTGAGGTGTAGAGCTAAGCACAGTGTTGCTGCTACAGTGTCAACATCTGGCTCAGGTCCACCTAAAACAGCATGGACGGGACCCTCTGATGCCTAAAAGAACAAAACGACCAATTTATTGTATCAGTATGCTTTCATTTCAGTATGATTGGAAGGACATTATTGTCTCTTTATGTCCCAACCAAACAAAAGAACTGTGAAGCACTTTGATCTGCTAGCTGATGTACAGTATATAATGTACCAGCATCAAGCCAGCATGATTATGTTAGATGACTGCAGCATTTTGAAGCCCAACCTGATGCATTAATAATGAAGTCACGGTGCTGCAAGGCTTAGCTCATGCTTGAAAGAAAATGCTTGTAAATACGCACTACACTACTGGCAAAATCCATCATGGGAGCAAAGGATCAGTCGAAATTAGCAAGAATAACTTTTTCACTTCTAACTCAGAGTAACACGGTTTATCAGAGAAGTGATGACTTCCATTAATTTCTGCAAACAATGAGAACAAACACTCCTCATTTAGGTTAAGTGGACGCTAATGACAGCTCCATTACAGAGATTAAACATTCATCTCAGGGTGAAAAAGGCAGAAAATTATTTTTCCCCCTTCATTTGTTGACTGGGACTCTTAGTAGAAGATCTTAATACGGCAGATGATTCATGAACTTATCTCTGGACATTTATGTATTTTTGTTAAAATTTGAAAAACGACACTCTTATTTAGCTTATTTAGCAGGAGACAATACAGCCTATTCACCCTTTACTTTTTTTAACAAAATCATCCTCAACCATTGAGCGCCCTCACTGGGTGCTCTTTCTATACCAGCCTTTAACATTTTATCTAAACATCAGTTAAGTGCAGATAATCTGAATCACCACTAGTGCAAGACACACCTGCACCCTACTCCAAAAGGACTAGCAGGGCTACAAGTACCTTTACAACAACGTCACTGGGAGCATGACAGTCTATCAAAGGTCAGTAACCTTGAGGCCACCGTACCCTCCTCCCAACTTAACCTCCATTCCACACATCTGCTCTTATATTTTTATGCTTTTACATTAGCAGGCTGATAGTGATCTTTATAATTAAAAACTGCTGCATGCCTTTTAGTAGACTTCCAGTCTCTGTGTTATATGATAGTCAACGGCTGTCCTGGAATCAGTTAACACACTTACATTGTGATGGATTAACACCCTCTTACTTTTCTGAGCTTTTAACTATGCATTCTTCTAATAGATGATCAGATGCTTCTGGATGTTCCAAGAAGCAGAATAAAGCACCGAAGAGACCAGGCCTTTGCTGTAGTTACAGTTAAACTTTAAAGTTTAAATTAAGACCTCACCCAAAACTCAACGCTTTTGCTTTGTTTCTTGTTTGTTTTATGTTTTTTTGCTGCATATTTCTGCTCTGTTTTATCCATTTTAGTTGTACAGCACTTTAGTTAAACCTTGTTTTGTTTTTAAATGTACTTGTAATGTAATGTAAAAAATTGACTTGACTTTAGAAAATGGTCAGCACAAACAAACTCTCAAAGCACGTTAACTTGTTACTTTATCTGGTAATCCTGCTTTCATCTTGCAAGCCTTACAAACACTCAGCAAATCTGTTGACTTATCAAATACATAATGGAGTCCGGTAATTTAAGGGAGCTAAATGCCATAGTTAGACACATAAAGCACTGGTAATAGTGCATAAGGAATTGAGCCAGTGTCTTGTTTCTGTTCTTATGGCCTCGCCACTCAGGCCAGAGGGATAAATGAAATGAGGGGTGAGGTAATGAAAGAGCAAAGCGCTCAGAGGGAGCGCAGAAAAAAAGATTTGAGGCTGCCTGATCATAAGAACGGAAGGAGTCTGGTTATACTGGAGGAAGGAGGCCAAGGAGTTTAAGAAAGGCTTATCAAAATGAGGAGCTGTAATATAGTTGGTGAGTCAGAGGTGTAGAAGAGGTGCAGGAAAGGAGAAAAGGAAAAAATGGAAGCCAAACAGGTAGAAAATGTGACAGGAAAGACAGAGAGGGGAGGGGCAGCGGGGAGGGCAATTTAAGAGGTAAAGCGGACGGGGGAAGTATCACAAAGAGGAAATAAAATAAGAAGCAGAAAGAGTACAGAATGTGTGCGAGGCAGAGAAGGACGGGGGACGGGCTCTCCTGCCCGTTCCTTCATAGCAGGGAGGGCAGCAAAATAAATCAATAGTAGATAGCCAGAGAAAAGGAAGTGATGCATTAGCAGGAGAAAAGGCCAATGTCTGTTCGACTGCAATAGGAGAAGACTGGTGTGCGCGCACATGTGTACTGGCCACCTGATACCTTTCAATCTGAGTGCTCTCTTTCTCTCCTCCTCGCCTTTCTGAGCTGCCATATTCAAATCCTCTCCCCTCGTTTAGGTTTAGGACAGTTTTGTGAAATACATGAACAGCTGCTCTGATTTTATTTTTTATTTTTGCTTAAATAAATAAAGATTAAATGTAAAAACTACAAAATTCATTATTGTATTTGCTCTCAGCAAAAACTGAAATAGATTAATTTAAAAAAAAAAATCACTCCCTCTCTAAAAGTTGTGAGACACTTAAACAACCTAATTCAACCTAAAATAATTAAAAATATTTACACCTGTGGTTTTGCAATCATTGGACCACCCGGTTCTTCATTGTGCTAAATTAGAAATATCTATTAATCATTATTGGAGTCTCAGCTTCCACCTGAATCGTGCGTCTGTAGAACAAACTGCAGAACCGCTATGATGATTTCCTCTTAATATAGAAATAATAGAAAAAGTACACACAGAGAACAGCTGCTTCCTGGTGTGAGGTCATACCAATGTGCCGTAGTGATGTTTACATGATGTACACCCCTAAATTTCCATACACATGCTTCATTTCAACCTGACATCTTGGTCATATAGCTGAGGAACATATTGCAGCAGAATTCACACAATTTCTGCTGGGAAAAAAAAGGAAAATAACAGAAATATTTTGGTGTAACAAATTAAAATGCTCACTAGATAAAGAGAAAATAAGATCACAAACCTAATTAAAAAGTTCCAGTTCACGAGATATTGGATTTCAATGCTAATTTTCAATTAGGAGTTTCTATATAACCTTAAAAGTTACTCATTTTTGACTGAAGCTGTGGTCTCTCATCCATCCGTCCATTGGCTTATCTAAGTGAGAATCACAGAGTTTATCCCAGCTGTCATTGGGCAAGACATCAGTACACTCTGTTCAGGTCACCACTCCATCACACGAGTAACACAGAGAGACAGTCACACTCAAATTCACACCTAATCACCTGTTAACCTGACAAGTGTGCTTTTACACTGTGGGAGGAAGCCGGAGTACCTGGAGAGAAGCCTCAAAGCACAACAAGGACATGCAAACTCCACACAGAAAGGCCCCTGTAGTGATGACCGATTAATTGTATCATCTTCGCCACCAAACAATGTATATGCTCAATAAAACACTGCAAAAGGCAGCCTGAGTTGCAATGAATAAGAAAAGTCAATTTATGCATGGACCTTGCATTCACGCAGACACGCTGGTGAGCATTAGGCTACTATGCTCACAGCAAAATCTGCTTTTTTGCAAATATATCCTCATTCCAATGCTTAAAAGTGTTATCACGCATTAATTTTTCTGACATCACATAGGTCTAGCAGTTTATTTAATTAGATAGATAGATGTCTCAACAACAAAATCTATGTGATGCTCTAAATAATTCTAAATAATTAAAGAGAGAAAAATGACAAATGTTAGCACATCCCAACATACAAAGTTTTAAAATGACCTGTTTCTGAATGAAGGCGCAAACAAAGCCAATTAAAGCAGTCCTACGACTCTGTTTTTTTGTGGTTGCATGTGTGATAGTGTACAGATTGAGAAAGACAGATGCGCGAAGCACACTCAGCATGCCGCTTTAGCTCGATGCCAAATGTCGTAAGAGTGAAGGAGTTAGAGCCGTGGAGCTACACAGAGCAAATCTGAGTGAGAAGGAAAGATGGCTTCAGTAAGTTCTAAGAGCCAACATAATTAGAGGTATTGCTGTTCTGGACCATAGCCATGCAGAGAGTGGAGAGAAAGCGGGATGAGGAGAATGACAGAGACGAGAGCGTGGTCAGCAAAAGAGTGAATCATCAAAGTTTACATTAGAGAGCTACGAGAGAGAGAGGGATAAAGTGCCCTCGCACACAATTTGTACGTGTGTGTGCATTTGTGTGCGAGAGAGAACTGAGGAATGGCCGTTAATCGTGACATGCGTTACACCTTATCTGGATCTGACATGACACTCATCAGTCGTCCCCTCTTATCACTCAATTACCTTGCTGTGCTCTGATCTGCAGATTTGCCTCTTTGAGCTTTTCTTCTCCCCAGATAAAAGGTCTTAAACTCGCCTAAAAATTTAATCCCAGACAGGTTTGCATTGTGCTGACAGACAGCCGTTTACACAGATAAGTGAAATATTGTATTGTAAGTATATTAATTATTGTAAGTATTGTACGGTGGGTAAGAAATGCTGCAACCCTGCATGTTGGGTTACAACAACAATCGGTGTCCATAACAACATATTTTCCCTGGTATTCCCTTAACTAGAAATCACTTTGTTCATATCATTTTATTACGGCCTATCGCAGACACCTATATGCAATTACTGTAATAACCGGGCAATATCAAGACAGAGATTTTTCTCTGAAATATTTATCTCAGCTTTGACGTGCATCAGCAAGCTCAGGCAATTATGTACATTACCCTGTTACACTACTCCTTAAGACACACACACGCACACACACACACACACACACACACACACACAGCCTTTATCTGCTGATGAAAAATATGCTTGAGGGCAGCTACTAAATGGGCCATGATGTGAGGCTGATTTCTCAATGTATAGGATGTTTAAGAGAGGGTTGTGAGAAGAAAAAATATTAACTTTAAGACTAAAAAAAACTGCTCTGTTTTGGTTTAGTATGTGCTCATGTGTGAACGCCAATCAAGTCCTCTCAGACTGTGTGGTGGGTGTTTTCCTTCTCCTCCAAAGAAAATAAGGAGCAACATAGCAAAACTAAAACTATTAAAGTCATATTTCAGTACATGGTGTACAGTAGAGCATCTGACACAGACAGATATTTCTGATCATCCCCTTCTTGGACATTGTAAACAAATGATGCTAAGCCTTGCCAAAATATGATGTCCCAAATACGACAGAGACAGTATTAACAGGAAATGAATACCCTTTTTGTTTAGTGTGTTTGTGTGTAAAGGGGGATGGCGACACACACATACAGACACTAGGGTCTCTCAAGCACATGCCCAAAAAGCAGTTTTAGGGTCCTCCATGAACTCAAGGCATGTAGACCACATATCTGCTACAACATAGGCTGGATGTGCCCCTGAACGCAACATAATGCTTCACAGATGCTCTACGTTCATTTGATCCGTATAAATTAAGCTGTTTAGTATTTGCATGAGGCTTTTTTGACAGTGTGCGAAGAGATATTCAGCTCTGGATCAAATGCAAATTATGAGTCAGTATCTGCAGAGCAGCCAGATAGCAGGGAAGGACAGCCTCCGGCTAAACTTGTTGATGTCACGCCTTCCCCTCATTAGAAATCTCCTCATTCAAATTCACACACTGGTGTTCCTGTAAACACAACGTGCTTATTGTATTGGACCAAACACGCCGTTCTTTTCCTTTTGTGCTGTCATACTGGCGATCTACAGGTGCTTTGGGGGGTGGGCATGGGGGGCGGGAAGACCGAGGGGACGTGAGAGGCGTTTGCCGTGCGCTTTTCCAGCAACAGGAACGCAGCCTGTAGCACAGCAGTAGCAGCTTTCCCGTCATGGTCTCATTCATTATACCCGCAACCTGGTGTTAACGCCGCTGAAGGCTCTTAACTCACCCCGAGTCTGCTCTGGACCCTCCGCAAATACTCTTCCATGTCGGCCTGCGTCGCTACGGCGCTGTTGCAGATCTCTCCATAGACCAAGTTTCGGCAATAAGGCGGCTGATGTGGGCTTGTGTTTTTTCTCCCCCCTCTCTCCTCGCTTCCGAGTCCCCCGCTGCGCTCGCACTGCAGCACTCGCTGCTGCCGCGAGAGACGTCGGTCCTCCCCTTCTCAACGGGGCGAACCCACAACACCGAGCAGTGGGTGTGACGGTAGGAAGAGAAGATCCGACGGAGGCGCGCTCGGTGATTCAGCCGCGCACCCTGCGGTGGTAGGAGCCCCCCTCCCCGCCCTTCGTCCTTCTCCCCCGCTCAACCCCTCCTCCCCGTGCACATTAACACATCCCTATCCTATCCCATACAGCCTCAGATGAGACCATACTGAATTTAGTGAGTGATGAGTGCAGCCTAGCGCTCCAGCTTTACGTTACAGCACGCTGCTGGTTTGGCTCTATTCTTAATTTGAGGATATTCACACTTGTGGTGCACAGGGGAGGAAAAATGCCGCAATATGATAACAACCACAGCCAAAGAGCACCGCAGTACCTTTCTGGTACGGGCGTGCTTTCACAGGAAGCACTTTAATTAACCTGAAAGATGTCCCTGTGAGGAACAGTAACACACACACACACATAGGAAGTCAGCCAATCCTGAAACTTTAATATTTAAAAGAGGTCGTTTATCATTGGTTCATTGTGCCACTGGGTTTAACTCTTTAACCCCCCCCCCCCCCCCGCCCATTTGGTTTCTGATAAGTCGACTACACTCAGATTAATTATAAAGTAAAAGTAATAAAGGGTCACGTCAATTAACATCCTTGATACTTTTTTACTTATCGAGCTTTGGCTTCATTTGCCAGTTCGTGAAAAACAACTGAAAACTCATGCTATACTGTACCAATGCCAAATCTTGTTTGTGATAAGAGTAACGAAAATGGAATGATAACCAAATAAATCAGCATGGACTGTGGTTATTTTCTTATAACAGGCCATTAAGGGACAAAAAGCAAACTGGCTGGTGTATCACTACATTAGAGACAATCCCCCATATAATGCACAAATGTGTGTGTGTGTGTGTGTGTGTGTGTGTGTGTGTGTGTGTGTGTGTGTGTGTGTGTGTGTGTGTGTGTGTGTGTGAGAGAGAAAGAGAGAGAGAGAAAGAGAGAGTGTCTTTTTCACATGGCTTTTAGCTCAAATACCACATTTATTGGAATCCATGGTTGCCTAACTGTATTAATGCAGCAGGCACTATGAGCACTACTGTGAGCATCTTGCTTCTCCATTTGTGGTGAAAGCAGTAATACTCTGCTCTAAATGCGAGCTCTGTTAGAGCACTGTCCCTGCAGAAAGCCAAGAGGGCTCTTACAATATTCAGACCAGATCTAATCAGTTCAAAAAAAAGTTATTGTTTCCTGAGAAACAAAAAGTGATAGACAGTTTGTTAATGTCTATCTATCTATCTATCTATCTATCTATCTATCTATCTATCTATCTATCTGTCTGTCTGTCTGTCTCTGTCTATCTCTCTCTCTGTCTGTCTCTCTCTCTATATATATATATATATATATATATATTTCAAACAATATGGGAAGGGTTACTTCCCTTCAAGGCTTTTCTACATGAAGTCACTCAAAATTAGTAAGACACTCTAACAAGGTGGATATGTGAAATACAATGAAGGGTAAGGTGCAAAAGGTCACCAAAAGCCTTAAATATCGAGTTTCCCCTGTTGCTATATTGTCAGTGGAAATAGATTTTCTTTATATATTTTTTTACATTTACATATACATAACGTTACCCCCTTCATTGTGAACAAGCTGTAATGGTAGATTTAGTGTGTTCCTGTGTCTGGGAATGTCCAAGGAATTACAGTAACTTTCACAATAACAGAGAAGCGTGAGCAGGCACAGACTACACCTGAGCAATATATTGTCACTGTCCTGCTCTAGCCTGTAACTGCCATCTGTATTTGCAGGAACATTTTAGAATATTCCTTCAAAGAATGCCTAACGACTGCCAGAAATTATTTTGCAGGTTTTCTATATCAACAGCAAAGAGGATACATTTGCATATGCTCATCATAACACAGGTTCATTCCAGGTTTATTCACTTGTTTATTTATGATGTGCAAAGTAATTAAATCCATCCTGAAAACAAGGTGACCCCATGGAATCAAAACCAGTTTGCTGCTGCAATGTTTGGGCCCCTTCAATGAAATGAATTTAAAGATTATGATTTTGTTTTGTTAAAATTGTCTCATTTTTCTACACTTTATATCTCAATTTCATAATAAGAGCGTCACAAACACTGAACACTGAAAAAAGCATTACTGCAAGTCCTGATTTGGATTTCTGCAACATTTCCAGTGTGACATTATGACAGACAGCACCACTTGATGCTGGCTCATACTCAAAAAGATGCTGCAAATTCGGTATTTAGTTTGTAGACTCTACAAAGTGAAAGCACGCATATGTTTGGGGAAAGTAAATGACCGATTACAAAGCTTTTAGACTAAAACGTTTGCTTTTAATTGCTGTGACAGTTTTTATCCTGTCGCTGTGTGGTCGAAGTTTCACGACGAGATTTCGGGGAAGAATTCTGGTTCTTTGCACCTAATCAGTTTCTGTGAAACGGGAACTCAAGACAGTTTTACCTGAGGTGACTGAAAGATTCTTGAAGGCCAACAGGAAGGCAACAGGCGGACCATCCTAGCTGTGATCCATTAATGCTCCCCTGGCTCACTCTTTTATGGGCAAATTGTAAGATCTGTCGTATTTTGCCACTAAATAATTCCCCATCACGCAAGTGAGCCTTACAGCGTCTGCACTACAGTCCTAAACCGGCTTAATTTTCCATTGAAAACAATAGGCCGCGCTAATTGATTTTAATGGCTCTCTCCGCGACGATGCGCCCCTTATGACTTGGAGAGAGGTCTTTAAGATTATTATTATTAGTATAATTGCCATTACCCCCACACTTTCCCTTTGCGAATGGGAGACAGAGAAAGAATATCTTTGCCCTTAAGCTGAACAAATAATTATTAGAGACTGGAAACAAACAGACGACCGTCATTCACACGCGCGCCCACTTGCGCGCACGCACGAACACACACATGTCTCTCCACCTTAGAGAGGACCCCCTCCTGGCGACCCTCATTCCCTCCGCCGCCCTCTTCGTGCAGCGTGCCGCTTGTAATTTATGCAAAATTAATTGATACATCTTTTATAATTGATGTGCTGTAAACTTAATGAGTAATTTATGTAATTAGTCAATTAAGGATAATTCCAGCATATGTTCCATATGCCCAGAAGGTGTGCTTTACAACTAGTTATTTGTCCAGGAGTTGGGTGCAAGCGAACGCTGCCGTAGACTACCTAATTAATTTTGTTATGCAGATCAGCTACGGTGTCTATTTAACGGCCCCCTTTGTGAAAACAGATTTAATATTGATCTTTCCCGGGCGTTTTAAGAGGATGCTTTTACCCGCCCTGGCCTCGGAGGGCCTCGGTGTTTCAAATCTCATTTTTCAGGCGCAGGGAAAATAGTTATTCGGAGAAAACAAAAAAACACAAGCGCAGCATCAACTGTCTTTTAAAATGTTCCCTCCTCGTCAAGCAAAGTGGCACTAAAAAGTCATTTTCTTTGCAATTACATAATGTCTTTAAAATATGCTCTCCGTTGACACGGTTGACCTTTTGAGTGGGCTTGAAGGACCGGGACATAACGGGAGTGATACACCGGCTAATTAATTGACACAGTTTTGAATATTCATACCTAATACAGCGAGCTTGCCCTTAATTACATTGTTGGACTTCTCTCTTAGGAGGCTAAATCACGGAAGGCTTAATTATTGTAATGTATTCGAGGGCCCACCGGGGCACCGCGGAAGACAGGAGCCGTCAAGGACCCAGTCATGACACCTGGCCAGAGGAGAAAAAACTACGAGGAGGGAGGGGGGCTTTTTGCGGTTCTCCGCTGAACAGAATTCAGAGCAGGGGATGAAGTTTGTTTACATCCTTGTAGGATTCACCAGAGAGTGTTTGAACAGACAGACAGCCGCCGGACTCCCCTCTCAGCAATTAATCAACAACAGCGCCTCTCTCTCTCTCTCTCTCTCTCTTTCTCTCTCTCTCTCTCTCTCTCTCAGTGTGTTTTTGTGTGTTTCTGTGCGAACGAGCTGGTGTAATTGAGAGCAGAAGAGAAGCGCACTGATGATTGTGCGCAAAGGAAGACATGATTTATTGTTGGCAAAGTCTGAAAGTGCCATCGAGCAAATTTAACAAAGATGCTGTATTTATATATTCTATTCTTTACTATTTGTTTCCTCGACTCGAATGGGGGAGATTTCAACGCAAATCCACGCTCTCCGTCACAGTTCTTTCACCGCAGACACACAGATGACAAGGCAGTCTTTATATGTGAAGCAACTGAACACTTTAATACTATAACATTACATGACTTCTGGTGCTGTTTAAAAAATTGCAGGAGAGGTCAAAGGTCAAGTTTATTCGCAGAGAAAATGCCACAAAACCTTTGGTGATTTTGTTGTCTTGCTCCAAGACATTTCAGGAGATTCGCCACTATAAACAAAGATTAGATGTTAAAATCGGTCCAAAAGTGTCAATTCTGTCCTCGTGTACTTTACGTGGGAGTCTTTGATTGGTAAACAGCAAATTAGACGCAAAGGCATGTGCTGAACGCACATCCTCTCATGTTTATACCCCCCCCACCTCACGCCACACACACACACACACACACAAACGAACACACACACACACACACACACACACACACCACACACACACACAGCCTCTGCCTCTCTCATGACGTGTCCCCTGAGTGTCTGGATAATAGATAATAGAGCTGGCGACCTGCGGGGGTCTTACAAAAACGGCGCTCATTGAGTGTGAGCGTCGCACAAGAGGAGAGGAGCCACATCACACACAGACAGCAAAGCAAACCGGCCTCTCATATCATCATTCAGCCGCCGCGGAAACAAGAGCAACTCGGAGGACTTCTCAACTTTTACGCACGGAAATTTGACATTTACGCACGACTTCAAAAGCATAATTTGACGAAGACACGGACAAAACCAACTTATTTACGGACGTGAGAGACTCTCGAGGATCTTACCTGAGCGGCGGGCCTTTGGGTTTCACTATTAATCGATAAAGCAGGTAATATAATCTGATGGCTCAAAGTTTTGGAGCAGATCAGTCAGATGGAGACTGATATGAAGACTGGCAAGTGAACTCGTAAAACAAAAACAAAAAAACGTTAAAAAAAACTTAAAAAGCATTTTTGTTCAAGAATTTAAACTTCAAGAAAAGAGTAACCAGCTATGCCTCGTCCAGGGAAAAACTCTTACAGCGACCAGAAGCCTCCGTACTCCTACATATCACTCACAGCGATGGCTATTCAGAACTCGGCTGAAAAGATGCTGCCTCTGAGTGA